GGAGAATCAACGATCGGTTGGGGCATTGGATCGCCATAAGTCGGTTGGTAGAAGCGTCCTTCCAGAATGCAAATTCTCCTTCGGGCGATTTGGCATCAATTCGGAACTGAACAATTAGGAGCGGGGTGTTGTCGGCCACCTTCCGGACTTCAACAACCTATTGTATAAAAATAGACGAATGAGAACACGTAGGGGAAGGAGAACCTGATAAGGTGGACAGAAGAACCACGAACCTTGATAAACAAGGCATGGCTCGAGTCCGCGTCGTCCTCAAAGACCACCTCCTTGGCCCCCCCGTCGAACTCCTGGCCCAAAATAAGTGCTAAAGACCGCAACGTGTAAAACGGGTCCAAGTTCGGTGGGAGCTCCATTTTACCCGTCCTTCGTTCCCGTTCTTTCCTTTCGATCTCTTCTAAGCCTATGTTCTCCTTGATGGACTGGCGACCCAAACTTAACGCAAGCTTCTCGCCAGCTGTCCAGGTCGACAGGCTGGCGAAATCAACCGCCTTAGCTTTCGCCCCTTCTCCATTACTATTGGTCGCATCTTCAGAGTGATCGGGAAAGAGTTGCGTGAAGTATTGCGCGGCGTCGAGCGCGCGGTCTAACCGCTTGGAGAGTAACCCAGCCGACATCTTGGTGGTTGCAGGAAGTTCTACGCCCATTGACGAGAGTAATGAAAGAGTTTCTTCTCTGCTTTGATCCAACATGCTCTCTGTCTATTCCAGTTATTCGTGCGGTGCGGGTAGTGGTTGGGGGTTGGGGGCAGGGTGGTGGTCAAAACGATTTGTGGTAAGGAAGCTTTTCTTCGCCCAGGGCTCAAGCCTTGTCCCGCACACGTACGCTTCGAGACGCCGCCCAGGCCGAACCAGCATACTGACACCAACCATCAAAAATGTTACAAATCATTCCGATGTCCTCTGCTCAAAACTTTACTGGGGCCCACAGCATGACAAAAGCAAGCCTGCACACGAAAGGAAAAAAAAAAAAAAGGCAAAAGGTATATTCCCCCGCCGGGAGTCGAACCCGGGCCTACTCGGCGCCAGTCACTGCCTGAACAATGACTTGCTGAAAGCGAGTTATCCTAGCCGTTGGACTACGGAGGACTACGGGATAAGCTCGGGGGCTAAACATCATACTCCCTTAATTGGTGAAACTACACGGCGCGAAGTCGAACCCAGCTCGATATCAATATGTTTTCAACACAAACGTAGCATACATGGAAAAAATCGATAGTTACCCGGACAGAGAAGAGAAAAATGAGGTACATCAAACACAACAATACATTATTACAGAAATCGAATCGGGCGTTAAATCCTTAGTACGGAGTGGGGAGCGACAGAGAGACGGACGGACGGACGGAGAAAGGAAGCCTGAATAGCACACATACACACGGTCGCAGAGCCAGCAGTAAACTCGGAGAATCGCAAAGCGTCCCCTGCTCTCCTAAAATAGTTCTTCCCTTTTGCTCCATCAGCTTTAAACCGCATCGCTTCCAGTAGGCTGCTGAGCCGCATCCCCCTTCTTCCCCCTCAAGCTCAAACTGCCCAACAACCCGCCCAGCTTGCCCGCACTTCCCTCTTCGGCCGTGGTGGTCGCAGCGGCAGCAGGAGCCGTGGACGCTGTCGCGGTCGCGTTCGTAGCGTCGGCAGCTTGAGACGTCGGTGCGATGTGCGCTGCGGGAGGTGGAGCTGGAACGACGGGCACGGTCGCCGTGGCTGGGATGGCGGGGGCGTGGAACGAATCTTCCGAGAGACGTTTACCGGGCGGCGTGGTTGTGATTCGGAGCAGAGCAGTATACGCTGAAAGGAGAACAAGTTAGCCTCACAGTCAAGGTGCGAAGTCTCAGAACCGATCGCCTACGTTGTCGACAAACCGGGCAGAACCAGCCCTTGGCCTTTCTCTTCCTCCTCGGTCTGGGCTGCTCCCCTGCGGGAGTAGCACCGGCAGCTTGATTCTCGGTTCCGTTGGCACCGGCGTTTTCAGCTCCTCCTGTGGTGGTCGCGCCGGTAGCGGTGGTCCCCTCCACCTCGTGCGTC